AGGGCTTGTGGGTTTAGGGTTTTAGGGTTTAGGGTTTAGGGTTTAGGGCTTGTGGGTTTAGGTTTTTGGGCTGTGTCCCTTTATTGTTTTGTCTTTTGCGGATTTGAAGCTTAAAGGTGTAAGAGCGCAGGGATATGATGGTTTTAGACATTTGTGCTTTCAGTTTCAGGGCTATGTTAGGTTCGGATGTAATGCTTAAAAACGATGTAAAACTGCAGAGTTGTGATGGTTTTAAGACTTGGGGTCAGGTTTATAGGGGGAGTGGATGCTTTCTACATGCTGAAGCGTGGAACTCAAAATCCAAAACCACAAAACCTGCAACTCTGAATCCGCAGCCCTGCTCCCGAAGAGCTAAACCCGAAGCCTAGAAGCCAAGCCTTGATGTCAAAGGCTTCGATGGCGAGGGTTGTGGTCTTTATGCCTACAAAACCCATGAACCCTTCAGCACGGGGCACAAAATCCAAGCTTCACAAAAAATCGCCAGCCCTTTTAAAAACTTAAGCCTGGAAAAAAAACCTTGAAATAATCGGGCAAACCCTAAACCCTAAACCCTTTATGAAACTACAAGGTAAAACTACGGCCTGGTACTTATCCGCCATGGCTGCCACTTCCACGAGGGTCGCCTCTGTGGGTTTTGGTCCGAGAACCTACTTCTTCGGCGGTGTACGGTTCAGGGCTTATAGTCTAAAGTTGCAGAAGTTTAGGGCTTAGGGTTTCAAGTTTAGGGTTTAGGGTATAGGGCTCGCAGGGTTCTGTAGTTGAAGGCTTCAGGGGCATCGGGGTTAGGGATCAGGTTGGCAGCATTCCGTAAGACCCTTTGTAGCTCAATAGGGTGTTATCAGTGTCATCCTAAACCCTAAACCCTAAACCCTAAACCGTCCGTGTCATATGAGGGATGCTCTTAACTGTTGGGTCTATGGGGCTCGCTAATTCTGACCCTCACAATACCGAAACATAACTCTGTAGTGTGCGCTGTGGATCCTGTAAGCTCTATAAGACCCTTCTCACACTACTCGTGCAGAAGTGTATCTTGAACAAAACTCTTCCGCCCGTCAAAACTTAAAACCTGCGTAGATGCAACCACTAAATAATTGAATCCATAAGCCCTGAACCCTGACCCCGAAACCCTGAAGCCCACGGCACCCGTATCAGGCCCTTGCAGAACGCCTTCAGAAGAAAAAACACAGCAACCCTTAAAGGAACCGATCATTTAGAAACCTTATCACAGGAGCCCGGATTGAAACCATAACCCCTAAACCCTAAACCCTAAACCCTAAACCCTGAACCCTGAACCCTGAACCCTAAACCCCAAGCCCTAATCCCTAAACCCCTCGACCCCTTAAAGGAACCTCAGGAAGGCCCAGGGCACCAAGGAGCCCTCGATGGCCCCCGAGTAGAGAAAGCGAAGAAACGTCTCCACAGCATCCGCCGAAAAGTCTGCGATGACCACCTAAAAGTCCCAGACCCCCGGAAGGATCTAGACAGTAGATCCCTTAAGGGGGTTCCAACACAGCACCCTGTAGTAGTTAGGATCCCAAATTCGGGGTTCTACTTTTTAGATCCTTCCGGGGATCTGGGGTAGTGTTCAGGGTTTTACTGCGCAGGGGTTTTAGGGTTTAGGGGAAGTAGTGTTTAGGGCTTACGGCGTAGGGAATGTAGCTTTTAGGGTTTAGGTTTGTTGAGATGAGGGCCTTTCGGTGGCTGCACGATTGCTCGGCTTAAGGGTTGAGGGCTTAGGGTTTCTACAAGGCTCCCTTTTGAAGTATGTCAGAAGGGCTTTCTAGTCAAGAAGCGGTTGCATACAGGATTTTGATGGGGTCATCAAGGATTCTTGGGGCTAGCGGATACCTTCACGAGCTGCTTGTTGTTTGAGCTGGGGCCCTAAACCCGGAACCCTAAACATAAGGGGCCTCGAATCTGGGTGTCCTTCTACTGGTAGTAAGACTCCTTCCAGTTTGTAAGGGTCCATGTGTCCAAGAAGTATATACGTTGGCCCCCAAGTACTTGAATGGGGACTACATGAAAGCCACAGTATGTACTATGTTAGTACATGGACCCTTAGGGACTTAGTGTCGACTCTATAGTTCCAAGCAGACTGTAATTCCTGCTTGCGGTTTTTGGATCGCTCCCTGTTTAAAAATATCCCCCACGGCGCCATGTACCTCAACTCTAAACCCTAAGCCTAAAACCCTGAACCCTAAACCCTTAACCCTGAACCCTTAAACCCCTCTGGGCTCAAATCGAGGCTTTGCCTTTAAGGACTTGGGGTTGAGGGTTTAAGGGTCTACCCATAGGCCCCATAGTAGTTCCTTTTTGGGGTTGCCTTATAGGATTCTATATATGAACCCCAAAAAGGAACTACTTTAGGGCCTATGGGTATAGGGTTTAGGGTTTTTGAGGGTTCTGGACCTGCGGATTTCGGGTCGTTTTGTTGGGGTTCATGGCTGGCGTACCTTGAAAGGGGCGTTAGGAAGATCTGTGGGGGTCTTGGCGGGATTTAGAGATTTCAGCCTTCCAAGCTAAACGCGTACGGAGCCGAGTGTTTCGGGGTTTAGGGCTTTCGAGTGTCAGTAGCACTTCAACCTAGCACATCCCATGCCAGAAACCCTGGGCTTGAAAACCGAGAACCCGGTTTAGGGTTCATGAAGGGTCTAGGGCTTAGGGCCTAGACCCCTGAATCCTAAATCCTACACACCCTGAACCCCTAAGCCACATGACGAAGCTGCGTAAACCCATACACTACCCCAACCTTAGCTCCACCCTAAACCCTAAACCCCAACCCGTCACCTTTAACCCAGGACTGAATATAAGTCGCCTGGCTTTCGTTGGCTTCCACAAAGTCTGGCGAACTCATCCTGGGCCAGAGGGGGTCGCCTTATCCTGAGGGTGAAGGTTTAGTAACTAACAGAAACCCTACATTGTTCTATTATATATATATATATATTATAGGTACAAAGGACCCTTTAAATATGTAAGGGGATCGCAAAACGGGTTCGTGCAAGCGGGCTTCCAAGTCTCAAAGGCTGAATAGCATTGTGACAAGTGGGATGAGAGGCGAACTCAAACCGGCCTTAAGCGTTCTGGAGTCTTGTGTGGCTTCAGCTTGAGTTTTGAGGGGGATGGGAGTATCTTGAGAATCTGCCGAGGGCAAAGGATTTCGCTGCACTTTGCTTACATTCCATGGAAGGTCTGTCTGAAGGTAGAAACCTGCTGCTGCTGCTCCCTGGACCACTAGAGCCTCCAAACCCCTGAACCGCAACGCCATCCACTTACGCCTTAGTTGGGGCAGCAGATGTCTTCTACTACAGGAATACACCCTTGCTGCCTTGAAGTACCCATGAAGCGCACGTAAACCCGGGTACCAGGAGCCATGAATCCCGAGCTCCGTATAGCAATGTCCATGAAGCTCCATGCGTCTATATAGCATAGCCTTAGGGCAGTGTCCATGAAGCAGGGCATACTAAGGTGCGGTAAAAGGAATCGACGCGGCCAAGTGTCATTTTGTCAAACACCGGCGACCATTTGGAGAGCAACACCGACCACCTCAGTAGCTCCGCGGTTGTCAAAAGTGCTTGCATTGCAGAGTTCAGAGTTCAAGATGAGGATTTGGGAATTTGGGGGTGCGAACTTTGGTTGTCACTGCCGGCATGGGGCACTCGGAACTCTGCCATCTTAATGTCGTCAGCCCCATCTGCGCCATCTCCTGCCACATGCACGGCCGTTTGGAATTAATTAGTGTTATTGATGGTTCAAGTACCAATACAGCAGTCTGTGTAAAGGGCCAACATATTCACTTACATGGCTAGTCGCGCAAGCAAACGAGATGGGCCTGTAGGGTATATCGGGCGGCTGTGGGGGCTTAAGGCTGAGATGATGCTGCACTTACTAATGATAAGGAACCCCCCCCCCCCCAGATAGTACAGGTAATTATTAAGGCCCCTATTCTAACCTCAAATGCCCAAGCCTTCAACCTTGCCGAAAATCCCAGCGCACCTGGGGGGACTACAGCCACAGTGAAGTCCCCATGCCCGAAGCATGCGCTGAGGACGTTGGCCACATGGCCCTAGCCGTGACATGAAGGACTAATGGTGGAAGGAGTGCTGAGATTTTAAGTTTTACCCTAAACCCTAAACTCTATGGGAGGTTTGAGAGTTGATTAGGAGTTGAGAGGCTTGCTTGTGGATTGAGCGTCGTAAAGCTATGAAGCCCGCGGTGGGTCCGTAGGCTTCAGATCACACCGAACGGAGGGTGGGGGCTGGGGGGGGGGGGGGGGGGGGGGGCAAAAACATTCTTAGAACACCGAACACCCTGAGACAACATCGCAATTGCTTGATCTTGGAGGCCGTTCCGGCTTAGGCTGTTACACTTACAGCTCTTATCGCTTCTGATGTATTTATATATACGTCATCAGTCCATCTACCGAACCCGTGATAACACGCATTATATAAGGACCTTGCTAGCTCCCTGCAACGCATTCAATAGCCGTACCCTGAACCTAAAACCCTAAACAATAAACCCTGAACTCTCAACCCCTAAACGCCAAAACATAAGCCTTATCGGAATCGAACCTTCAAGCACAGTCCCAAAGGGTCTTAGTACCCATATAGTAGATATTTTGGGCCCCAAAGTATCTACCATATAAGTACTTAGACCCTTTGGGAGTTGAGAAATCCCCTGGCCTTGCATTCACCTGCCAGGGATCTCATGGCCATAGCCACATGCAGGCACCGGCCGTCGAAGGAACAGAATTAGTGCATTCGAGGATATATGTATAATGTGTATATATGTGTTATATGTATATATATATACATATATATATATATATATATATATTCGCATATATGTATATACCTATCGTTGTCTGTCTGTCTGTCTGTCTGTCTGTCTGTCTGTCTGTCTGTCTGTCTGTCTGTCTGTCTGTCTGTCTGTCTGTCTGTCTGTCTGCCCGGATTGCTCTTGCATAGGCACGGAGGTGTAGTTTACGATTGTGTTGGGGTTGAATAGGGTTTATGTTTCGGCTCTACGTCGCGGGTTCCAGTGTGGGGCTTATATTCCCTATAGGTTTATAAACCCAGGTTGTTGTCCAGGTTCTGAGTTCAGGGTCAATGGTGCTTAAATTTCGCAGGACGGTAGAAAGGAGATGTCTGCGGATGCGGCACTGATGCTTTTTAGGGTCCATGATCCCAAATCGTATAGACTATGAAAGTAGTCCCTACATAGGTACTTTGGCGCCAAAGTATATGGGGTTTCCGAACATAGGGGACCCTAATATAGTGCCCTAAATAATAGGATCCATATTATAAGGACCCCAAAAGAAGGTACCCCCTTATTTTGGGAAAGTCCCATATACCATTTGGGCAAAGGCACGCTTAGGGCTGCACTTGAAAGGCTCTGGCTTCAACAAGCCCGCAAAACGAAAGCGTGGGTGAATTTACCCTAAGGGTCCAAGTACCCAAATAGTAGGGTTTCAAGGTCCAAAAACCATTCAAAGTATGGATTTGGGGACCTAAAACCCTACTATTTGGGTACTCGGACCCTCTGGGTTAGTTCAGGGTCACAAGGGTTTAATAGGGTTCGGGTTAACCCCTAAAATCTCCAAAGCTACGTACGCTTTAAGACAGCCCTCGAAACCTACAGCCGCCCACCGTGAACCCTAAACCTTGTAGCACTTGAAGCCCCCTCCTCCCCGACTCTGCCCACAGACTCCAGCCTGAGAAGAGAGCTTTTGTCGTTGCTGCAGGGGCGTCTACCCATAGGCCCCATATTAGTTCCTTTTTGGGGTTACCTTTTTGGGGTTACTTATAAGATTTATATATGAATCTCAAAAAAGAACTACTTTAGGGCCTATGGGTAGAAGCAAGGTGGCAGGCTTGGTGCTGCCACAGCCCCGTATACAAATCCGATCGTAGCTTCTCTATGGCTGATGCCTAATGCAGCTAAACGGCGCACTCGTTGAAGTCTGCCTGCCGATCGCTTCAGACGGAAGTCTGCAAAATGCTTCAAACTGTTGAAGTCAGTGCTTCACCAGACTTGCAGGCCTTCTGCGAGCTGACTGCCTGAACATGACCGACTCATTGCAGTTAGGCGGAGCACTCCCAGAACTCTGAGACTGCCTTCTAAATCTGCCTTTCACTTCAGATGGGCGTCTGCAAAATGCCCTCGATGTCGAAATGAGTTTCCGGGAGCTCGCCTTCCAGGACTTCCAGCTTGAAGTGCTTCACCAGGCCCAAAGGCCTGCTGCAAGTCTGGAAAGTGTAGTCTTCGATCTCCTTCCCGCGCGACTCGTAAGCGAGGTGCCAGGTCGCGCCGTCTTCGTCGGACTTCACATTGATCCGGAAAGATGTTGAGGCCGGTACGGTGGTACTAAACCAAAAGCCCTGAAGATGAACCGAGGCATGATGAAGAACCCACTGCATCCAGCCCTTTCGGAGGGAAAATTTGCCTTGATTGCCCGCTACGCGCTCGAGCTGGTCAGCGGTGTATTTGTCCTGCCCAGGTCCCACGATCACCGCCACCCAATAGCCCACAAAAGCACCCTTCCTGTCGGCATCCCGCCACTTACCCATGAGCCTGTCCAGCACGTCGTCGGTGTACTCGTTGTTTGCTGGGATGTTGATGATCGATGCTAGGGAGTCGCAGTCCTTCCCTCCCCAGCTTTGGACGGTCTTCTTCAAAGCATCTGTCTTTGTGCACAGCAGGCCTGAGCCCAGGATCTCCTCCAAGAGCTCCGGCCGGAGTGCCGGACGCTCTTTCAGCGCTTCTTCCGGGTTGATGAAGATGAAATCGAGCGCCTCGGTTCTCAAGTCTTCCATCTGGAAACGGTCGGCAGAAGCGAAGATCTCGCACGCCAGTTCAGGTTTCAGTGCTTCCTGAACAAAGTGCAGGCACGAAGAATGCAACGCCTGGACCTGATACTTGTCTGCTATGGCTGCGACTTCCACCATTGCTGTGACAGAGCCCTCAACGCTCCCAGAGTACATGAAGCGCAGGAAGATCTCAACAGCACTGGCCGAGAAGTCTGTGATGACCACCTCCGACCTCTGCGACTCGGCGAAGTTGTCCGAGCCGACCATCTTCCCAAAGACGGGAGACCACTTGGCAAGAAGGGAAGACCAGACCTTGAACTCCGTGCGCTTAGCCGCCGCGCGACCTGCACTATCCTGGGAAGATTCGCCCGCGGGCTCTTTCACGACGACCGTGAAGTTGCCGTCCTTGCCGAAGCATGCCGCCAACACCTCAGACAAAGCAGTCAGATCTTTGTGGGCAACGATCGCCTCTGACTCTGGCTGCCTTTTCCGCTTGGATCCTGCGGACATGTCTGCCAGAGAGGGTCCTGCTGTCCTACTGCGACGGCAAGAACCACCAACCAGACATCATATGTTTCTCCAAGCCCTATTCAAGATAGCGGTTGTTTTGCAAATCGGGTCTTATGATTCTGTAGTCCGCTGGAAGGATCCTTCTTCCCAGGCCCTGAAAGAAAAACTGGAAACACCCAAAAGGGTTTATAGGGCTTGGGGACCCTAAACCCTAANNNNCCCTAAACCCGAAAGTCGCGCATACAGCCGACTCCAGAGCTACTTGCTGCGGCACTGGGCCAGTGGCGATGCTTTGCGGGTTCCAGGTTTGGGGAGTTAGGAGGTTCAGGGTTGAAGGTGTACTGTGGAGGATTCCGGGTGTAATCGGCCATCATGTACCTAACCCCACCCCCCCCCTNNCCCCCCCCCCCACCCCCCCCCCAAACTAGGTGAAATAATGGCCCCAAAACCCATACATGGCGATTGAACTACAGACTTTCATCCAGGTGATGCTCGTGGCCTTGGTTTCGGGCTCGGGATTGACAAGATCTGGAGCTTGGTGCTTGGGCAAATGCAAACGAACTGGGACAAGCATGTGGGGGTTGATCAAAAATTACGGGTCCCTTTTGGCCTAAACCCTAAACCCTAAAGCCTAAACCCTAAACCCTAAACTAGTCAACTCCCTGCAAGCCGTCCCCTAACTTTATGGAATATACTACAATACAGACCGCGATAGGCCTTATAATTTTGGTGGCCGTGACTGTAGGCTCCTCATTACAACCTACTAGCATCGGGCATGGGATGAGCCCGACGCGTGCAGCTTGTTGTCACACTAGAAACATATACATCTATACACACCCTACAGATGCATCTGTGCTAATGTAGTTATTGAGGTGTGTGTTTTTGAAACGTTGTCTGTGCGCATACATGATATTTGTACTTGCATTTATAAACTATATATATATACATATACATAC